TCATTACTGGAAAGAAGGAAATTTCATTTCATTCATTATTGGAAAGAAGTTCTAGAGAGGGTAAGGTTAAAGCTAGGAGACAAACAAGATAAACAGTGATCATGAGAGAGCACTTGGGGTGAGCTGGAAACACCTCAAGCGGCAATCCTCATGTGACAACTCTGAGAGGTCAAGATTAGGAGAATATGTGTGTTAACAGCTTTTTATTTATTTATTTATTTATTTATTAAAGATTTCTGCCTCCTCCCTGCCACCGCCTCCCATTTCCCTCCCTCTCCCCCGATCAAGTCCCCCTCCCTCGTCAGCCCAAAGAGCAATCTGGGTTCCCTGCCCTGTGGGAAGTCCAAGGACCACCCACCTCCATCCAGGTGTAGTAAGGTGAGCATCCAAACTGCCTAGGCTCCCACAAAGCCAGTACGTGCCGTAGGATCAAAAATCCATGGAATATATACATATTAGTGTTAACAGCTTTTTATATCAGAGGTGGTCATTTCCTCCGTTGCATTCTGCAGAAAGGTGGAAAAGAGGAGGAAAGTGATGAGCAAGTATGATTAGAGGTGGCATGCAAGAAAATTGGAGGGATTCTCTTAGAAGTACCACGCAGCATGAGGTGAATAAGTTAAATGAAGAAACAGATGGGTAGTGATAACAAGACAGTGGAGAAGGCTTAAAATAGTTTTTATAAGGAGAGGAAGGAAGAAATGTTACTAGGTAACCTTGAAAGCAAGTTGAGATTAGAGACCAAGAATTTGCATTAAATCAATTTACTATTTCCTCCAGCATCATTTAGTATTACAACATTGTACAGCCAGGAAAGTAGATATTTAGATTTAGATTTAGACTGACGGCTTGCATTTCACCATATTCATGTTGTCTAAAGGCAACAAATAAAAAGAAAGAAATTTTAAACAGGAATAATTTAAACAATGGATGGTGACATGTAGGTTGAGCAAAAAGCTGAGATGGGGTAGTCTCTATTCTCCTTTTTCATTGACTGGGCTTCAAAGTCATTTTAGTGCAAGTATGAATTGTGTAAACTTTAGTAAATTTTCATTGCCCTGTAGAGCGAACTGTATATGTTATATAGCCTTAAATGAACGACAAGGATCAAAATCATCTATCAGAAGGGAACAAATGTTAAATCTAAAATCCTAAATCCTGGAAACTAAGATTTTAACAGGAAGGTCTTGACAGAGAAAGGTCAGGTATTTGATTATTTGGGATATTAGAACACGCAGTAGGACAACAACAACAGAAAAAGAAATTTTAAATTTATATTTAGTGTAATGCAGGAGGCACACTGCAAATGCTGGTGAGAGCTTTGTATATTGTGCTAGTTCTGGATTAAACTAGTTTGTTGAATAAACTAAAAAGCATAAGAACATGGAGAAAGGAAAATTCAGAAGAACTTGCTAATTGACTTCATAGAAGGAATAAAGAAAAATAATTAAATGTAAGGGGGACAATATTATAATTTGGAAAGGTGGAAAGTAGAAGAGTGTTTATGAGGAAAATATGATGGGTTCTATTTCTATTTGAGGGATCTGTAGTAGTAATTATTAGTTATCTAAGCATTTTAATAGGATTTAGAAGATCAGAAGTAGACCTGAAGATTTGTATTACACTATCATCAACCTAGCTGTTACAAAATCATGAAAACAAATCAAACTTTAAAAAGAAACAGTGGAAAAACCTAAGTGCACAGAAAGGTGTACAAGAAAATATAAGTAAAAATGAATACAATAGGAGAAAAATAATAAAAGACAATCAGAAGCCAGTGAATGAAGCACCATTTTTTTAGTCTTTTGACTAAGATTAAGTTCAAAAGCCAAAGAAAGAGTTTCTAGTTGAAGACAATATGAAAATGAACACGCTGTATAAAAATAATTTAGACTTTGTAACAAAAAAGATTGCTGATAAACTCTGAAAGTGAAATTTCTCTGGAAAGGGGAACTAAATCAATAGTGAAGAGGTATACAAAGGAAGAGGTTGCACAGAAGTATGTCACAATAGGGATGTAGCTCATTGGAAAGACCCTTGTTGAGTATGAGTGAGACCCCCTAGGAGCAATTCTCAATACTGCAAACAATGAAAAAAATTTTAAAAAAACTATGATCAAGGAAACTGTCTAAAAATTTTGACCATGGAAAGAACAAAAAGTTCTAGCAAAAGGGAGCAATTTTAGATTATATGTGTTTTTAAGGCTGGGCAGATGTACCCTCCAGGAAGTAGATAAAGATTGAAATATTTACTATTGAAATATTTACTATTACATGCATGCTCTAGATGCAAAATCTTCTAGTTATTCACCAAATTCATCAAGATGTCAACCAATGAATACAGCCAATAAAGACCTTTAGTTGATTGTATTAGTGTTAGATTAATGCTCAACTACGACAGCTCATGTTTAATCATTTATAATTTATCCTGACAATATTTTTTTTTAATTTCATTTTAGAATGGATACCTAAGAGTTTATATAGCAATATTAATGACTAGATTATATACAAACAAACTCAATTTGGGGGCTTTGAACGCTAATATCTAATGCTTCAAATAAATAGTTTTAAGCCAGTGATTCTCAACTTGTGAGCTACGGTCCCTTTGGGGATCACATATCAGATATCCTGTATATTAGACATATACATTATGATTCATAACATTAGCAAAAATATAGGTATAAAGTATCAACAAATACATGGATGGTTGAGGGTCACCACAACAAGATAAACCATTCTAAATGGCCACAGCGTTAGGAGAACCACTGTTTAAGCCTTCATCCTTAGAAGTCCTCTTTTTGTCTGGCTCTTATTTCTGAATGAAAAATGTATAGCTCATCCTAAATTTATGATCATAAGTTATTTAACTGAACCTCAAGTATATAAAATTATTTTGTAACTGAAGAGAAACTTAGTTTTCTTCTTAGAGAAAACTAGAAAATTTGAGGAGAAAAGAATGGGTAGTTGTTCTATTGGAAAATAATTTCTAGTTTTGTGCACCTGTCTTCATTTTGTTTCTCCTTTAATACAGTTGGAGAAGTGAGAGAGGTGAAGCCATTGGACTTGGAAAATTTCAATTATAGTTTGAGCTATGCTACTAAATTACCTGTGGACACTTCTTTGTATTTAGGTTTTTCATTTGAAAGTAGGAGTGATGATGCCTGCTTTGTAAAATTTTGAGGATTTAATGACATATTATGTATACAAACATCTAACACATTTTTCTTCTTAAGTTTTTATCTTTGAATCTAAAAACTCCTATAAGCCACAAATCCTAAAGCTAACTCTTAAGTTAGATCATAGTTACCAATAAGCACAAATTTAGTGGCTTTGGTAATTGAATTTATCAGCTAATGTAATGAAATGTGCTCAAAGAGTAACTTTAAAGAATGAAGGTGAAAAGGCACCATCTTACAATCGTAACAGTATTTGTTTTCAATGGGGCAGGCCTTTATTCTTCTATTACTTTACATTATTGGAGATATTTGTGAAGGAGGGAGGTAGACAAACATTAGGTTGATGGAGGAAAAGATTTTGTCATTTATACTATCCTTACAATGAAGGTTGGCCTTTCAGAAGTTTTTTCACATTCCCTCTCACCACCAATAATTCCTTAAAATAATGAAAGTTATCATAAGTTTTGTTATTTGCAGTCATTTATATGAATATAGCAATGGCAAAAATTTATAAAATCATTTTCTTTAAAGCATTTTAGCTAAAATATTTAATACTTGAGTGATTATAACAATCTCCAATCAAATGTTAGCTGCTTTTAATCTTTTTTAAAAAGATATCAGCAGAGTATAAACTATAAATAAATAAATAGAATATAAACCTGTCTTATTTAAGCGGGGGTGGTGGTTCACAGTTTTAATGTCAGCACTTGAGAGTCTGACAGGATGATTGCTGTGAGTTTTAGGCCAGTCTGACCAACATAGTAGGACCCTGTCTCAAGATTAAAAAGCAAGGGGATAGAAAGAAACACAAGGAAAGATGAAGTAAAACATTTTAGTATTAAACTTGTGGTCTGTCTTACTGTTCTAGACTACAATTTAATTTACCAACATCTCTATTGCATAACAAAACTCTCAAACACTGTTTCCTTTTTATTTCTTTTTTATAGTGCTGAAGATCAAGTATAGGATCTTGTGCATTCTAGATAAATATTCTACCTTTGACCTATAGCCCTAGCCCTTGGGCTTTTGGAGACAATATTTTACTATGTAGACCAGGTCAAACTCAAACTTTTAATCCTCCTGCCTCAGCCTTCTGAGTATTAGAATTATAGGCATGTATTATGATGCCGTGTTCCAAGTATGTTTTAAATTGGGTAAGAGTTCAATCTATTCTTGTCCTTGACACTTTTGTATGTTGATAAAGTAATAGATTGGCTTATTAAGACAATATACATTTAATGCTAATGATATACTAGATGTTGTCAGTAGGGTTCAACATTCAAATTGATTACTCATGTTGATATTTGTAACATCTAAATGCTGTATAATTAGAGAAAATCTAGTTATTGGTAGAGGGAAACTAGCCAACTGGCTGGTGGCCAAGAAGGTCTGAGCCGGGTGGAAGAGTATATTTATGACAGGAACTGCCCAGGGATAGAGACAGTTCTGAGATGGGAATGCCAGGAATTTAAATAAGAAAGGGTAAATGAATGTCCCAGGAGGAAATAAAGGAAGAGGGAATAATGTGGCCTATTTTCTTTTTCTGAGTCTGAGGGACATGTGAAAGCTTGGTTTGTAGGGGTTAGGCTGTCATTCACCATTTCTTCTTCATTCTGTCCCTCTTTTCCAAGAAAAGATGCAACTTATGAGTTGCTGTATTTTTAGAGAATATACTACAGAATCTCTAAAGAGCAGGGATTAAGGTGAGATTTCAAATTTTGAGAACTTCTCCAACCCTGTGCCCCTTCCTTCCTCATGTCTTAAACTGCTTGCTATGTTCCCCAGTTCTTTCACTGTTTCACCCCAAGTCATATTTTTTTTTCAGATTGTACTACACCGACTTTGAGGCATGATGAATTCTAGAAGGACACGACGTAGAACATCTGGCCGTAGGGTCAACTCTAACTTGAGCCTGTGTTGTTGCCTTCCATTGTTTGAATGTCGTCGACGATCCAAAAATCAGGTAAAAATCTATAGAAATATGGTATTGAGTTTTGTTAGGCTATAAATAAATGGCAGAAGAGTGAGCAATGTACAATGTCTCAGTGTCATGACTGTGTGCAAAGAGCAGTATGACATTTGTGACTTTGTTTAAAGAATTTATACATGTTCAATCAGTTCTGCCTTTTCAGAGCTGGGGGTTGGGGTAATGGCTTAAGTTTGGGATTCCAAACAACTTTGACAAGCTGATGTGGGTAAAAATAAACATGACAAAGTCTATTAAAGGCAAACTCAAATCCAGAGGAATACCAGATTACAAAAATAAATACAAGATGGTCCTGAACTGGTTATGTATAAATATAACAAATAATTGTGTAGAGCCCTTAAGAAGTATAGGTCAGACATGCCAATAATAGAATGATAGAATGTCCTACGATCACAAACAATGAACATGGTTTTGTGTGTGTGTGTGTGATATAATCTTGACATATTCTGTATCTAAGTTTTTATTGTGCCTTTCATAAGGAGTAACGTGCTCAATTTCTGCATCTATGACCTATCTATGTATATATGGAGTATTTGGGCAAGGTATAGGGAAAACAAGCCAAAGTGTTTCCTTTTAAAAGAAATCATTTTAAAAAATGTCCTTATAAAATTCAATTAAAAGATCTGAAGGGTTAACTTAATCATAAGTCTTCAAAGAGTTGGAGAGATATTAAATGAGGGTAGAAGGAATAGATTAAACAGCCGCTAAACATTTCCTCTCAAATAAGTCTTGCGATGATTAATACAGTACAGCAAGTCAGAAGATGATTTTTACCATAGCATAGTTCTGACTTCAAAACACTGAAAAGTTATTATTATTTGAAAATAGGTGAAAAATTTCCCCTTTGAGCTCTGTCAGAATTAAACAAAAAGCTACCATTATGAAATGATTTTAGTACAGAATGGTCATATAGCAAAGTGGACAGTCTATTAGTAGATTTTTAGAAAGCCTTTTAAGTAGTATAAGTCTGTTAAATAAGGTTCATTCACCAGTTCAAAGGGGAAAATTGGATTCCTAAACATCCATTTTGTTTCTCATTATAATTTTGATAGCATTTGCCCTTGGGTGTTTTTAAACAGCTTCATAGACTTTAAGATTTCCCAGACCTCTTTTACATTTGTAAATATTTAACACCAACCTTCCCCCGCCCCCTGGTTTCCAGTATGCCTACACATATTTCATTTGTTTATCCTAACTTCCAAGACTGTGTTCATGCAAAATAAAAATATGTGAAAATATTTCTAGTTAACAATCACCTTTCTGTTTTACCAGATTATTCTTGTTTGTACTTAGATTTCTACTTTCATATTTTTTCTCTGTATGTAAAACAGATGTTTGTGACAATTTGTTGAGATAAATTATGCTGCTAAGACGCTATAATTTTTATTCTATATAGACATAAATTCTTTAATCATTTATTTTAAGAGATAAAACCAGAAATCGGAAAAAAGAGGCCATTTTTAGTGTGCTATTAACTCATCGAGTGCATGTGATTGAAAGCTAGGGTAGGCATACTGAAGTGATGTTTATTTTTCTTTCTCCAATTTCATCATAGATATGACTAAATGTACCAAGGTTGCATGACCAAGCAACTGGTAATTTCAGCCAATTAGCTACTTGTTTTGGCTTAAAGATAATCAACATTCATTTTGACATTTTTTTTCAGTAAAATGTTCAGTTGAAATTTCACTCAATTACTTACTTCACACAAAGTGAAGTGGAGAATTGAAGCAATTATCTACATGATTCAAACAAAAAGATGACTTCTTTGACCTCAATTATAGTACCTGTATATTTTAAGCAAACTATGAGTTTTGCTTGAAAACTGGAAAAATGTTAGTGTTAAATATTTACAAATGTAACATTTATTCAGAAAGCTGCTTGAATACTCAACTTCTCCTTCAGTTTATGTGGCCTGAAAGTTAACTGAAACTAGTGATAATTAATGAAATGAGCAATTCACTGATTTTTTTATAAGGAAGATATTGTTTAAAAATAAGTATGAATTTAAAATTTTTTGTCATGAGAACAAGCTCATTAAGAAAGAGGGAAACATGACAGACTCAAGATGTCTGTCTTACTTACTGTTACAATTTTTCCTAAAGGTGTTCGATAATGAAAATGGGACTCTAAAATTAACATTTGAAGTGGAAGAAAGGCAAACATGTGGAGCATACTAATAAGCAGCTACAAACAGGAAAGGCTGAATAATTACATGGCCCCTTCCACATTGCAAACATGTATTTTTATTCCAACATCAGTTAATTGAAACTGTGAACAGAAATGAAGCAACAGCATTCTTTTATAGCTGCAAGTGGTTTACAGCAGTAGAAAGTGCAACATAATTAATTTTTTATCATTACTTAGAAAAGCAGGAATCCAGGAAGGCAGATCAACTGTGGCACAAGTTACAGATTCAGTGAATTTTGAATTTTAGAATTGATGGTATATTTAAACCAAAAGAAACTGGCCATATGACTATTTGATTTTTGGCCACATGTGATCAGACAAATCAATGGCAAAATAGATATTCATTAAAATAACTGGAATAATTAAGCATTTATAGAATACCCTTCATCATCACCTCCCTCCCCGTCCCAAGTAGTGGTAGACATTATCTTTTATAATTCTCAAAAGTATTCCACATAATACATATAATAATTAAATAAGGTTAAAAATTGAAATGATGAAAGCTAAGACAATAAATGTGACCAAAGTTACATGAAATATGGGGCAAAACATAATTTGCATACAAGTCTCCCAGTAGCTACATCATTCTGCTACCTGCTTATCAGAAAAGGGGTATAAAAGAGTTTCATCAAAAGAATTATTAATTAGTGGAAATTTAAAAATGAATTTCTTATTTTATGACAGTTTATTTTGAAATCTAATTTGGCTCATTGTCATTCAGAAAATCTTTAAGCTGAGCCGTGGTGGTGCATGCCTTTAATCCCAGCACTTGGGAGGCAGAGGTAGGTGGATCTCTGTGAGTTTGAGGCCAGCCTGGTCTACAAGAACTAGTTCCAGGACAGGCACCAAAGCTACAGAGAAACCTTGTCTCGAAAAATTAAAAAAAAAAAAACAGAAAATCTTTAAAGATTTTGTACTTAACTTTTCATAGTTGTAGAAAAATTTGCAAATCCACAAATATGTTTTGTTGTTTCATCTTTCTATAGATGTAATAGCATCAGTATCATTTTTTAAAAGTAGTAAAGAAAAGAAACATGTATAAAGGCTTATGTAATCAATATAAGTACATACATGATAAAAAGTATACTCATTGATTAAATTTATTTGGAGATAAGCTAGTATACTTCATCGTGATGCATGTCAGATCCATGCAATGGCAACAAAGAGTCGACAGGTTGGTAATTATTTTAAATTTATTTTTATGTGTATGAGTGCTTGCCTGCATGTATATATATTCACCTTGTGTCTTCCTGGTATATGTGGTAGCTAGAAGAGGACTTCAGTTACCCTGAAACTGAAATTATGGAATGTTGTGAGTCACTATATGTGTATTGCAAAGGAACCTCAGGTCTCAGATCTTCTGTAAGAGCGTCAAATGTTCTTAATTGTCAAATCATCTCTTCTTCCCTGAGCCTTGCAATTTTATAGCTTACACTTTACTTGGGGAATTAAATAATAGTCAAGTGATTTCACCGTAGGTAAATATATACAGACGAAGTGTTATGAAGAAAATACATGTGATACTAGCTAGGCGGTGGTGGCACACACCTTTAATCCCAGCATTCGGGAGGCAGTGGAAGGCAGATTTCTGTGGGTTCGATGCCAACCTGATCTACAAACCCTGTCTAGAAAAACCAAAAAGAAAAATACATGTGATACTAAAGGAACAAAAAAAAAACAAAAAAACAAAAAACAAAAAACAGAAATTCTACTTAGTTTGTCAAATAACAAGTCTTAAGAGGGAATTCAAGTTGAAATTGCCTACCACAGAAACATAGCAGTCATTAGGAGTAGATACAGAATGAAACAGTGAGATAAAGGAATGATAATATTGTTGTAGTAATACAAAATAGAAATAAATACCAGAAGATGATGCTAGGATGTAATATGCAGATACCAGTTCCTACCAGAATTTGTATGCTTCTGAATTTAGATTTGGTCTTGACTGTGATAATTTATGTTTGAATTTTTTTTTATTGAGAGAAGGAGAAAAAAAAAAACAAGTTTCCACCTCCTCCCAGCCTCCCATTTCCCTCCCCCTCCTCCCACCCTTCCCCCCCTCCCCCCACTCCTTTCCCCCTCCCTCTCCAGTCCAAAGAGCAGTCAGGGTTTTCTGCCCTGTGGTAAGACCTAGGACCTCCCCCCTCCGTCCATATCTAGGAAGGTGAACATCCAAACTGGCTAGGCTCCCACAAAGCCATCACATTACGTAGGTTCAAAACCCCGTGCCATTGTCCTTTGCGTCTCATCAGCCCTCATTGTTCGCCATGTTCAGAGAGTCCAGTTTTATCCCATGCTTTTTCAGTCACAGTCCAGCTGGTCTTGGTGAGCTCCCAATAGATCAGCCCCACTGTCTCAGTGGGTGGGTGCATCCCTCGTGGTCCCGACTTCTTTGCTCATGTTCTCCCTCCTTCTGCTCCTCATTGGGACCTTGGGAGCTCAGTCCAGTGCTCCAGTGTGGGTCTCTGTCTCTATCTCCATCCATCACCAGATGAAGGTTCTACGATGATATGCAAGATATTTGTCAGTATTGCTCTAGGATAGGGTCATTTCAGGTTCCCTATCCTCAACTGCCCAAGGAACTAACTGGGGACCTCGGCTTGGGCACCTGGGAGCCCCTCTAGGGTCAGGTCTCTTGCCAACCCTAAAGTGGCTCCCTTAACTAAGAATTATGTTTGAATTTTTAAAGCTAGGATGTAACATGGCCATCTATATCCAACCAAATGAAAGTATTAGGAAAGTTATATTACCCTTATTTCAAAGCCAAATCTAAACCTTTAGTTCTA